AGCCCTGGACTCACCTGCCTCGAGCACTGCCTCTCCCTCATGGCCTTGAGGCTCCCGTTCCAGTGCAGCAGCTGGAAGACTGTCATCAGCTCCTGCAAGGGGACAGCCACTCAGCCCCCAGCACACCCTGGGCAGGCAGAGACCTTCCAGCCACAGGAACAGGAGATTTCAGAGCATCACACCCCCTCTTTTGCATCCACAGGGTCGGTTTGTGGCTCTCAAATCAAAAGATTTGCAGCATTAATGGAGGGGAAGGGAGTCCTGGGATGGGACGAGGCGCAACGGGCACCAACTGGAACCCAGGAGGTGCCACCTGAGCAGGAGGAGAAACTTCTTTGGGGGGAGGCTGCCCAGAGAGGCTGTGGAGTCTCCAAACTGGAGAGATCCCAAACTGGGCTGGGCACCACCCTGGGCAAGATGATCCCCAGAGGTCCCTCCCAACCCTCACCACGCTGAGCTTCAGGGATTTATGAGTTCAGATTCCACCTCAGGACTCAGGCACCTCACACCCTCCAACCCAGAGGGGGTGACAACCTGACAGATTCCCACCCAAACCCCTCCCAGCCACTCTGCTCAGTAAACTTTCGGGGCCTGACGAATCTTCCCCCACACAAACTCAGCCCCAGGAACATACACAGAGCAAGAGCCACCCTGTGTAAACAGCCCTGTTCATATAAACACGTCTGTCCTCCTCCTGCTGAGTGTTTCCAGCCCAGGGAAACCAGCCAGGCGAGGAGCCAGCTTTGGGAAAACTCAGCCTGCAGCAAAGCTGCAGACTCCAGGCGCCGGCGTTGAGCTGCATCCAACCCCAGCTCTGCTGCCTGGAGAAGAATTTTGGGCTCTTTTCCCCTCTGCCCCAACTCCAGTTCCACTCCGTGCCCTCCCCAGAGTGATTTTTGTCAAGCCCCAGTTGAAATGTAGAGAAGGGTTCTGGAAATCACAACGTACGTGCAGGGGCAGCCAGGGAGGAATGTGCTCAAAGGCTGTGGAGTCACGTGCAGAACTCTGAGTGCTCCAAACAGGCTTATTTACCTGGCTGGGCTGCTCTGCTCTGCTCCTAGGAGCAGTTTCCTCAGCAAAAGTTGGAAGGGAGCCCAGAAGAATCCCAGCTCTCAGTCATCTGTTCCACACGGGCTCCCTTCTGGAGCTGGGAAGAGTTAGAGCAGCTTCCCCCCAGCAGCTCGTGCTGCTCATCTCATGGATGGTTTGTTCTAAGTGAGCAGATCTCAGAGCAGGAGGAACTGCTGGGTGAACACTGAGGTTTGGGGTGTTCAACAATAATCATCAAGGCTCCAAATTCCATCATCAAAATGGGGTTTTTTTTTTGGGGGGGGGGTGAAAGATCTTCACCAGCTTTCCCAAGGGGAGGAAGATCACTCCTGTTTTACAAGGAGAGGATAAAACCCATCCAGGAAACAGCTCAGGAGTTGCTTGAAGGGCATCATCTGGACCACCCAAAATAAACATCACCCCCCCTGGTCACAGAGCTGGGCAAATATCCCAGAGGCTTGGCAAGGAGAAGCCCCATTCCCAGTATTCTGCTGCTTTCCCAGCCCCTGGCAGTGCCCCAAACCCTGAGCTGTCTCCTAAGAGGAAAGCTCCCACTTTCCTTTTGAACAGCACTCACCACAGAAGATCAAACCCACCCCAAGGCCACGAAATTCCCAAGGGTACCTGGAATTCCAGCATGGATTTCCCCTTGTTGGACTCCAGCATGAAGCGGAAGGCGCCGATCCCGGTGTTGGGGTTGTCAGCTTCCTCTCGATTGCCCTGCAAGAGACATTTCCAGAGGAGAAGTGGAACTCCCAACCTGCCCCTTTCTCCCACATCCCCTCCCACTCCCTAATTCCAGGTTGGAGGAGGGAATCCTGCAGCTTTCTGCCAGCAGAGAGGGTCTAATTCAGCCTCGGACGCTCGCAGCGTCCACCACACACTCCCTGAGCTCACTCAGATTTTGAGAATACCACTCAAAAAGGGGTGGGTTTTTTTTGTCCCACAGCCCCACTGGGGTGATTTCCAAATTCTTACAATATTCTAAGCACCGTGTGGCCACAGAGGCAGAAAACCCTCCAGGAGAAGGGATAATTAGAGCAGGGAAAGAAGAACACAAAGCTCCCACCGCTAGAAACGAGGATTTTTTGGGGGAAAACAGACATCAGAAGGTCAAAGAGGTGCCACAGGAATTGATGTCTCAATGTAATCACCCTGCCCTGCCCCATTTGAGGGCAGCCCAAGAAGACCCTGAGCAGAGCAGGAGAATTCCAGTTCAAAATTCCAACACTGAAACAAAACCAAACCCACCTCGCCGCCAAGACCTCCGGAGGGCAAAGAAAAACTCCTCCTCCCACCCTTTTTGGAGGTTTTTTGAGTTTTTTTTTGCCCCTTGGAGACAACCCCACCCCACCCAGGCCCTGAGGAGGCTCACGTTGAAGGAGGGCAAGGCTTCTGAGACGCTCTTCTCGATGAACTCATCCGTGATCCTCCTGGAGGGGTGCTCGTTGAAGACCGAGTTCATGAGGGCGATCTTGGCGGCGCTCCGCCGGGCCTCGGCCTTGGTGGGACAGAACTGGGCAGAGGTGGACAACCTCAGGACAGGGAGGTGGAGAGAAGACCAAGATCCCTTTGTCCCCACCCTCTGAATTTGTCCCCACCCTCCCAAATTCTCCCCACCCTCCCAATTTGTCCCCACGACTCCAATTTTCCCTCACGCCCCCAATTTTCCCTCACGCCACATGGAAGATTTGAGCCAAGTGAGGGTCAAACTCTTCCCCCAAGGCACCAACAGGCCTCAAGTTGCCCCAGGATGGATATTTTGGGGTATTTTCTTCAAATCAAGATGAAAAAGGAAATGCCTAAAGCCACGAGAGCAGCAGGATCTGTTGTGCTTGTTGGATCTTAGTCTTTTTCGGGTGAGGTATCTGGGTTGGATGTTTTCCTCTTTTAACCAAAAAAAAAAAAAGAGAGAAAAAAAATCTTGATCCAAAGTCTGGATTTTGATTTCTAACTGATTGAGGAAAGGTTCTGGGTCAGATCCAGAGCCCGAGCTATGTCCTGGAAATACATCCCGGTGTTTGATCCTGGGAAAGGGCAGGAAGCATCCAACCCCAAAGAGGTTTCTGGGACACCACGTGTCTCACCCCAGCTCCTGAAGGTCCAAATCATGTGTGGGGAGCACGGTACCCAAGTTAAATTTACAGCCAGAGTGAAATCAGGAGGGGTTTATAGCCAATGAGGAATATTTACTAGCCAAACTGGAGTGAAAAAAGGTTCCAGTCAGGCCCCAATCATTCCTGTGCTTTTTTACATTCCCCCTGTGCCCAACACAGGGCCCTGGTTCTGCTGGGGAAGGACTCTTTGGAGGAGGAAGATGGAGCTGGCCCAGCTTTGACCAAGGGGCTGTACCTGGAAACTGCCAAAGCAGCTGCCCCCGGGCAGGGTGACGTAGCAGACGTAGGGGGGGCTGTTGGAAGGGACCATCTCATAGACCACCAGGGCCCCGTTCTTCAGGTCGGCCCCACGGGACTGCTTCATCTGCCAGAACTCCTGCAGGGCCTCCACGACGTTCACTGGGGGAGGAACAGCAGGGTGGGTTGGCAGAGGG